GTGTCCACAATGCATGCTCTCTACTCCAGGCTAATCGCAGGCGACAGTGAGTTGCAGTAAATGGAAAGCATCTGACAGGTCTACGAGCATATAGACCAATCTGCCCTAAGCTTCTGTACATGGTCTGCCTTGAAATTGTCGTACTAGTGGCTGAAGAGAGCTGACGAGACAGGTCTGAGGCTGTGCTCCGCCTGTTTCTTTTGGCAGTAACTGCCAAATACCGGTCCTCATTCGGCATTGTAACTCTGGGGCAACCTGTGCTGTAACCTCTACTCACATTACCATCATCTTGGAATCATTGCCAAAGCCTGGAGATGACACTCTAGGCAATTCCAATTTTGTCTGATACTTCCAGTTGGGTACGCCCACATTCGAGACGGCTGATAATTCTACCAGGTAAAAAATCATCCAAATGCGTCCTTTGTGTCATAACTATTCGGTTATTGCACTGAAATGCTTATAAAGTGCCTGCGAACAATTTTACTTCTTTGCCTGTATTCCTTATATATCACTCTCTTACACTCTCGTCATTTTGACGTACCATCGGTGTCATCTGGTTACTTCCTGAAATTTGCATATGATTCTTGAAGATGTGTGTAGTGATTTTACAGGTGATATATTTATTTTAGAGTTTGATTTCCCCGTGAATCTGAATTATCCTTAATTTATGGACATGAGTGTAAATCACAAGCTGACTGTAGTTAAAAATATCATAGATGAAATAAGACAATTTGATCAAAGAAGAAATGATTCATTATACTAAAACTGAAGAGACCATATATTATTTATGTATTTTTATCAAAGCTATAATATATATTCAAAGACAAAAGTCTAAGGCTATCATAAAGTATGAAGTAAATATGATAACAGACGAAAGCTTGAAAATTCCATTTTTACAATGAATAAGAAATAATATTTGTAGAATCAAATCACATATTCATTTCCAGAATAATTCTAGTAATATAGATGGGAAAACAATAAAAAAGAATACTATATTTGTCAACAAAATAAAAATGTCTTATAAGAAAAAAATGTGTAACACAATTTACGTATCAATCTACTTTCAAAATTTCATGTGAGGTCATAAACAGTGAAACCTCTATTTGTGACCACCAACCTCTTACAACGATCAGTATTTCAGAAAATAAAAATAAATATTGCTATTGAAAACCAGCCCCCTTACATTAGCCAATTGCACAGAAAACCCAAATCTTCTGGAAACTACTGGTGGCCATCTTAGAAAGAGTTCAGAGTATTTTAATTATGCTATTTGTACAACAATATGTAATGAATTATTGATCATTGTTGCAACCCCCTTGTATTGCGCTGTGGTCCCTAATCTTAATCCAAACATACTTGATGTTATAATGAATTTCAGAACATTCAGTATTGCATTTTGCGTCGACATCGAGAAGGCATTTTTGCAAATTGCAATTACTGAAGATGATCGGAACTATTTAAAATTTTTATGGTTTAGTAATGAAAAGGACAACGTTGAATTTTTTAGGTTTACGCATGCATTCTTTGGTGTAACTTGCAGTCCTTTCATATTGGCAGCTACAATTAAACATCCTATTCGAAAATATAACGTACATCCCAAAGTTGTTAAGATTTTAGATTCTTCTTTGTTTGTAGATGACTTAATAACGGGTTTGATGCTGAAGCTTTCTATTTGTTTGTCAACTGCTTCAGCTATTTTTAAAGAAGCAGGAATGAATTTGCGAGAATTTAATACCAATTCTGCTCATAGAAAAGTGTGGAAGAAAAATAAATTATGTGATTCACGAGAAAATTCGAACAATAGGATAAAGGTATTGGGATTACTTTGGGATGCTGATTCGGATACTTTGCATTTTGAGACGCAATCTCTTCCCGATAGCTGGGAATTTAATCCAACTAAACGAACTGCTCTCAAGGTTATGCTGAAAATATTTGACCTTACAGGACTTTTTGCCCCCTTTTTTTTGTTCGAATGAAACATCTATTACAAGAAGCATGGCAACGAGGTTTGGGGTGGGATACTGTTTTGCCCAATGATTTGAAAGAAGATTTTGAAAGCTGGATCTCGGAATTTGTGCAATTTAATAAATTTGAAATACCTCGAAAATATTTCCCTCAAGGTTATGATCTTTCCGATAGAATACAAGTTCATATTTTTTCAGATGCCAACCCTAAGGCTTATGGAGCTGTTGCCTATTTCCGTAAAATCACCAATGATAATGAAATTAAAACCTGTCTAATTTGGGCTAAATGTAGAGTCTCGCCCATTAAACATCTAACAATTCCTAGCCTTGAACTTACGGGGGCATTAATCGTGGCAAGAATGAGCAAATATCTAAAAAGTGTTTTTTCCCAGAATTGTGACATTTACTTGTGCTCGGATTCAACCATAACACTACACTAGGTTAAGGGATCACCTTTGAATTGGAAACCCTTTGTAGCAAATAGAGTTATGGAAATTCAATCTTTAACTGATCCCAAAATTTGGAACCATATCCCGGGTAAAGATAATCCAAGTGACCTTTTAACCAGAGGTGAAAAATTGAATAATCTCATCGAAAACAAGTTATGGTTTTATGGTTCTGAATGGTTATCAATGCCAAGTCACATGTGGCCCAAACCCGAAAATATCGTTATTAATAATGATGCTAAAGATGTTATAGACGAAAAGAAATCCCATTCAAATTCTACACAACTGTCTTGTGCTGTTGACGTATTTCCAGATTCGCTGCTAAAATTAGAAAATTTTAGTTCTTTAAACAAGGTGTACAATATTACGGCATGGTTCTTGAGATTTTTAAACAAGATTGATAAAAGGAAGTTTAAAATTTCAGGCCAACTCTCATCTTCAGAAATTGAAAAGGCGGAATTATATTGGATAAAACAGACAGAACAAATTGCATTTAATCGTGAAATTATGTCTCTAAAACATGAAAAGCCTATTGATAAAGGTTCGTTATACAATCTGAACACAAAAATTTGATGAAAACGGTTTGTTAGTTGTTTCGGGAAGACTTTAATTTTCTGAGTTTTCTCAAAAGGAAAAACATCCTTGGACTCTGTCAGTTGGAAATTTTAGTAATTTATTAACTAAGAATGCTCATGAAAAGGTTTTCCATTTTGGTATTACATGCACCTTAGCTCATCTGAGGGAAAAATATTTCATAATTAAAGGCAGAAAACATGTTAAATCAGTGTTAAAAAATTGCATGATTTGTAAAAGGTTCAGTGCATCCCCTGGAAAACAAGATATTGCTCCATTACCGAGGGATAGAATAATTGAATCCCCTCCTTTATGACCTGTGCTGTTGACTTCGCTGGTCCCATTTATATCAAAGAAAAAACAGGCTCAGAAAAGGCACACATTGTATTATTCACTTGCGCTGTCACAAGAGCTGTTCATCTCGAAGTAGCAAGTAATTTGAGCACTGAAACTTTTATATTAGCCCTTAAACGATTCATATCCAGAAGAGGACTATGTAAAACAATTTATGGTGACAATGCAAAAATCTTCATAAAGGCCGATTGTTTTTTAAAAGAAGTTTGGAGCCGAATTTCCCAACCTGATGTTCAGCAGTATTTCAAAGAAAATGGTATCATGTGGAAATTTATTATTCCTAGAGCTAGTTGGTGGGGCAGATTTTGGGAACGCATGGTATGTTCTATAAAAACCCCTTTGAAGAAAATCCTCCATAGATCATGCCTCATCTATGAAGAAATTCAAACAACGCTGACCAAAATTAAAGCTGTCATCAGCAGTTGTCCTCTGACTTATCTTAATCTAAGATAACAACGAACCTCTTCCAATTATCCAATCTCATTTTCTGATTGGTAAGCATTTAAATTCCTTGCCAGATGTCAAGTATTTAGCTGAACCCAAATCAAACAAAATTGTTGTCACGAAAATGTTGAGACACAAACAAGTCATCGCTCATTTCTGGAAACATTGGCGTAAAGAATATTTACTTGAACTTCGCTCAGCCAATTTATCCCCTCGCACTAACACTCCTTCTATATTCAAAACTGGTGATGTAGTGTTCATTCAGGAGGACAAAATGCCAAAACACTTATGGAAATTTGGAGTGGTCAAGGAACTGTTTCTTGGTAGAGATGGTAAAGTACGTTCCTATGCCCTTCAGACATGTTCTGGTATAATTAAACGACCAATTCAATTACTCTACAAACTAGAACTTGATCATGATTGACATTTTATTATTTAGCAATGAACAATCTTTTCTACTCTTTTTTTTTTTTTTTTTTTGGAAGTATTTCTTGATTATGTGTTCTAATTCAGTTTGTTATTGTATTTGTAGACTTCAGTTTATTCTTCAGATGTTTTCTGTGAAAGTAAGTAATTTCATTCTTACGTTGTATGTTTATAATATTTCTATTTGTTAATTTCTTTTGAAATAATTAGATGCTGAACAATTGTCCTTGTTCATCCAGGGGCAGTGTGTTGCACATCCCTTGTATTGCGCTGTGGCACCAATTTATTCTCGCCAAGTATTTAAATGTAACCCTATATATTTCTTCTTGTATGTCTAGCAGATTAGATTAGATTAGATAAGGGTTTGAAGCAAGTCTTTGACGCTATATCCGGATAGTTTTGATTTGAACCGAGATTAAATTCTTGGTAATAATAATAATGATAATTTTAGAAATTTGTTAATAAAACTTAGTTAGTTTTATTTGAACTATTATTATTTTACTTGAAAGTCTTTTTATTTTGATTCCGAATATGATTGATAAAGCTTACCTTGTGCATCTTCAATCATAAAAAGTTTAACTACATTTAACCATATCCCCATCAACTACTTATGCATTATAATTGGAATGGCTGCAGCATCAGTTTAATTTCTCATATTTCATAGAGATGTTCTAAAAAATTTACTCTTGAGGAAGAAAATCCAGTATCAAAGCTACAATAATTTCTCTGAAAACGCCATGATTAAGAATGTGGTCATACACGTAAAAATGTAATTTTTTAATAAAATTCTCACCTTATCAATTCTAGGAACACCAATATCAGTTGCTTTTTTAGCAAAAGCTATTCTAGCATCACCACCATAAGCTAAAAATTCTTGAAGCTCGGAACTCTGAGCAATTGGGCCTTGACTGCAAAGTTCTTTCAAGTAGCTTTCTAAAAACGACTTTCTTTCTGTAATATTCTTTTTATCCAAGTTTGAAAATGGTAATGCTAACCATTTACTTGGTCCTTTTATTCCTAAATGAAATAAATATATAGGCATACATATCAACATAAAGCATACAGTCAAAAAGATTTCACTTATATACTCGAATTTAAATTGTATGTTACGGTGAAACACCGAAATCTGGAGAATGTCGACTTTCACCGGTATATGTCAACATTCACATAGTCTCTTGGTGTATGTCCGAAATATTTTCCAAATACTCTTATTTCTGACACTGGTCAATGTCGACATTCACCATGTACTAATGGTGAATGTTGAACATATAACAATATTATATTTTCTTCTCCGTAATTCAGTCGCGAATAAACGCACTTGAGACTTGAAATAAGAACTTAAGAACACGAGAACCTAAAACACACAATACATTCAAAATGAGAAAGGAAAATAATATAAGTTAAAAACTTACTTAATTATACAGTACGTTCGTTCTAAATGAGAAAATAAAATAACAGCAATAAAAAACTAACTAAATTATGTGATTCAAATCTTATTTATTGCAACAACTTAAACTATTATGGCACTTTATGACCTCTCTTTTCGACTTTCACCAGAGCATATCTGTGATTGTCGACATACACCGGTGAGGGTCCGAATATACAAGAATGTAGTGAAATATTCGGTCTTTCACCGACGTATTTGGTGAATGTTGATATTCTCCGGTGAAAGTCGACATTCTCCAATTTCGGTCTTTCACGGTAACCTATACACAAATACAGGGTGTTTATAAAGTCTCTATACATTTTAAAGAAATATGTTCCAATTACAATTTCTTTGGAGACGATCTGAAAGAATAGCCATTGTTTGTTCCTGTACACATGAATTAATGTATCAACAGGTGCAGGACTTTGCCTGCAAATTCATGAAACAAGCCCCTACCAAAGCAGCTATTAAAAACCTTAGTAAAAAACATTCAAGCAAACTGGTAGTGTAAAAGATGAAAGACCTTTCTGGGAGACCTTCAATAACACCACAAGTTGAGCAATGCACACAAGAAGCCATTACATGTAGCTCCCAGGCATCTACACGAAGACTCAGCCGGGAACACAGTATTATTGCATTATTTTCTTCCATTACGTTTTACGTATATATGAGGTTTGTGCGGATTTGGAGTGAATAATGACGACAGCACTTGATTAAATATCAAAACACACTTTATTGGCCAGTATTCTAAAGACAGCTCCAAATTTATGTTTTACAGTCGTCAAAGATCTACTACAAACACAGCGAATCAATCAGCAACACATCCTTCACAATATCAGGCTATATTGGTGGAGACAGCTTCACTGCAAAGCACTAGCGTACAGCTCCCGACTCTGCTCGGTCGTTCTCGAACTCTCGAGACTCTCCACGCTACAGCTCGCGATGCACTCGACAATACGCTACAGTATGACTCCCGACTCTTCGGTTTAGTCATTCCTGGAGCTCAACACACTCTCTCGAGGATGCACTAACCTCGATACACTAACAGACTCTTTCGATGCACTTGACGACCCACTCGGCACTCGCTGACCAACTATCAACTTGATTGACTCTGCACGGACTGACTAAACGAGACACTAACTCTCCTCGTACCAGCAGGGCTTATACAGTCAAAAGTCGTTAATTCGGACACCCATAATCCGGAATGATCTATAATCCGGACCTCAAAGCTACAAATGCGAATATGCGTGCGAAAAATACGTTTATGAATGCACGTTTAATGTATAACGGACGGTATAAGCTAAAATTATCTAATTCAGTTAATGGTGCAGATTGCGTTGTTCCTTAATCTTCGAATTGGATTCGGCTTAGTATTTTTTTGCAGACTGTGAGAGCAATTTTATAAAAGTAGGCTTGAACTTTCGATTATGTCAAATAGAATTTCTGATATACATTTACTAATATGTAAAGGAGCTACAAAGCGAAAGTATGTTTCGAAGTCCATTAAACAAAAAGTGGAATTGCTTCAAAAAATGGATAAAGGCATATCCTTTGTTTATCTAAACTTTAACGTTTGTTTATTTAAACTTTGTTTATCTTTAACGCCGCGGCGCGCAATGAATTGGAAATTGATCTGTCAGCACTATTCTTATCTTCAGGGCAGATATTTTTATTTTATTTGGCTTATAATTCCTTACTAAATGTAGTATTTCATCTCGATGTACTCCATCTTTGATATGATTTAAATCAAATTCCTCATCATTATAATTCGCTTCCGATAGTGAAGAAAGTGACAGAGGTTATTGAAAACGAAAAAATTTCGATTGACAAATTAGTCGGTATTCTCAACACAGCAATTATAGTACTTGAACAGCAGAACTTTGTAACTGAACAAGAAATCATGTCTGTTTATAGAATTAAAGAGAATGTATAATCACATAAAAAAACGAAGCAACTTAAACAGCTTACATTGAAAGAAATGTTTAATAAAGTAAACAAATAAATATTAAGCTTTTTTTTGTAAATTTTGATACCCTTTACATCATAATTGTTCTTGATTTCATAAATTACGGTTTCATATTTTTAATTTTATAATTTCTGGATGGCATCTTACCAGATTTAAACTGATGATCTATCTATAATCCGGAATCGCCGAAGTCCCGACGAGTTCAAATGACTTTTGACTGTGTAGCTTTTGGCTTGTGTTCGACAACATTCTGGGCTAAACCGTTAAGCACCGTAAACCGTTCACTCCAGAAGGTTCTTCATCTGTCTATGGCAGACTGCCAAGTTTGTCACCAAATGAGTGATTTCTCACCAAATGTGGCAACCCTAAACCTGCTTTGCGGGGAAGCCATCTTACCTATCATCTTATTTCGTAACAGTATTTTGCACACTACTGTTTGGAAAACTTTATCATTTAAACAAGGATGGCTACCACATTCAAACTGTATATGTGCTTGAAGCCGAGGACTATGCAGCTCAGCAAGTCATGTGTTATGATTCGTAGGAAGCTGTGGGTAATGAGAACTTAATGGAGAATGTTCTCTTTGGCGACGAAGGCGCATTCCATCTCAGCGGCCATTTTCATAGACGTAATTGCCGAACGAGGGCTGATGAACAACCAAACATGCTATACAAATCTTAGGGAGCCACACCTAAAGTTAATGTATGGATCGCATTGACTAAGTCTAAGCTCTGTGAACCTTTCATGTTTGCAGAAAAGACCATGACTGGAGAAATTTATCTCGATATATTGCAAAAATATCTTGAGCCAAAGGTTGTATCAGATGGCATTATTGACACTGTTGTCTACCAATAGGGTGGGACACTTCCCCATTTTGTTATTATTGTGTGTAATTATCTTAATAAACTTTTCCTGATAGGTGGATTGGTCGTGGCTCTCAACGGCTTTGGGCTCCACAATCTTGAGACTTAACAACCCTAGAATTTTTTGTATGGGATTGGTTTTTATTATTATTTTTTTTCAAGTTAAAAGTGTACCGAGTGAAGACTGGCAGCACTGAACAATTAAAAAAGTAAATTATGGCTGCAGCAGCTGAAATTACTCCAATAACTTTACATAAGGTGTTCCAGAGTGTAGTGGAACGGTGGCAATTGTGCCTAGACACTCAGGGGGCCACTTTAAATTGTACTAATTTAATGTTCTATTATGTTGAATTTTCGTGTACATAACTTTTATTTCAGAATAAAGCCTGTTTAAGCAAACATGTATAGAAACTTTATAAACACCCTGTATAATGCAGGTGAATACCCATAGAAAAGTTTTCATGGGCATACTCTAAATAAGCTTCATAAGAACTTGCAATGTAAGAAATCAGCACTTACAAGCTGAAGAGTGAATCACTGAGAGTTTTACAAATGAAAAATAAAGAAACATGAATTTGCATAAATTGAAAAGCAAATCTGTAATATTTAGGAAAGGCACAACAAAAATTAGGTGTGACTTGTCAAAAGTCCATGATCCGGAATCGTCAATGCTTTGGCAATTCCAAAAATTTTCAGCTCAATTTAATCTAATAAGATGGCATGATGGAGTAATTATAAAATAAAAAGTATGATATACAGTCAAAAGTCATTAATTCAGAAACCCATAATCCGAAATGATCTATAATCCGGACCTCAAAGCTACAAACTTTTTGCGCATGCATCTTATTTTTTAATTTTGTTTCAGAATTTTGACATTGAAAAATTATTTTTATCACCTGGTATTCTTTGACTCTATTCTGTATCACTTTGGTTGTCAGTTTTTTTAGTTCTTTTAACACTTTCATATTCAATTTTTATACACTCAGTCTCAATATTGTTGTGAATTGACACATTTTATAAAATTGAATCTTCATATCTTCCCTCATTAATATTTGTAACATTAGTTTGCAATAAAAAGTTTTTAACTGATTTTAAGAGATCAGACCTTTACGGCTGCGAATATGCGTGTGCGCATGCACATAATATGTTTACGCATGCGCATTTAATGTATAACGGACGGTATAAGCTAAGCTAAAATTATCTAATTCAGTTAATGTTGCAGATTGCGTTGTTCCTTAATCTTTGAACTGGATCTGGCTTATTATTTTCTGCAGACTATTAGAGAAATTTTATAAAAGTAAGCTTGAACTTTCCATTATGTCAAAAAGAGTTTCTGATTCTGGAGCTGCCAAAAGATCTACAAAGCGAAAGCAAAAAGTGCAATTGTTGCAAAAAATGGATAAAGGCATGAAGAAAGTGACAGAGAGGTTAGTATTTAAATAGAATTTCCGATACGTATTTACTAATATGTAAAGGATCTACAAAGCGAAAGTATATTTCGAAGTCCATTAAACGAAAAGTGGAATTTGCAAAAAATGGATAAAGGCTATCCTTCGTTTCTCTAACCATTCCGAAACCTATTTATCAATTTCAAGCTGCTGTGTGTGCGTGGGGGGGGGGGGGGTGAGACTCCACGGCGTGCAATGAATTGGAAGTTGATCTGCCAGCACTATCCTTATCCTCAGGGCAGATGTTTTTATTTTATTTGGCTTATAATTCCTTACTAAATGTAGTACTTCATCTCGATGTACTCCGTCTTTGA